AACTCCCAGCCCCGTAGCTCAAACTTTGCAAAAAAATCGATAAAATCGATAAAAGTAATCGATAATCCTGAAAACCAATATTGTATTCGGAATCCCCATGCTCGATTACCCCCCTGTGCCAACTCCCAGCCCCGTAGCTCAAACTTTGCAAAAAAATCGATAAAATCGATAAAAGTAATCGATAATCCTGAAAACCAATATTGTATTCGGAATCCCCATGCTCGATTACCCCCCTGTGCCAACTCCCAGCCCCGTAGGTGAACTCAGCAAAAAAATCGATAAAAATCGATAAAATCGATATCGATCGATGACGAAAAGTAGCCTATGACACCCGCCGGGGCCCGTAGCGTATGTGTGCCAAGTTTGGTCCGGATCGGTTCAGAAATGGAATTTTCTATTCGGAACATACGTACACACATACAGACAGACAGACAGACAGACAGACAGACAGACAGACAGACAGACATACAGACATACATACAAACAGACATTCAGCTTTATATATAAGATAATCGCACGTTTTACAGCAGATGGGTGCGCAGATGTGGCATGCAGAATTATATTCTTAGAACTCTCCTTCCGATACCATTTGACGTGTGCTGCTCCGTTTTCCAACATCACCTGTGTATTTAGATATGGTAGCCAGCCATCGTGAGGTCTCTGTCTTGTCAAGCTGATGTACCGTGATTGTTCATTGAGAATTCTAAAGCACTCATCCATTTCGGACTGAGTTGCAGTAGCAATGTAACAATCATCGATGTAACGGCAGTACATCAGGGGACATCGTAATAATACCGGCTCCTCTATTTTGCTCATAAAGCAAATAGCGAGCGCGGGCGCTAGTCTTTGTCCATCGCTAGTCCTCTTAGTTGTGCATAATATTGTCCCGACCATTTGAAGACGTTGCATGCCAGGCATTCCTTGACCAAGAAGATGATGCGCGCTTTACTGAGCCCGTATGTTTCCATATTGGTAATATGTGAATCGAGCAGCTCAGAGAGCGCTTGTAAGGCGTCATTATTGGACACATTAGTGTATAATGACGTAACATCAAATGACTCCATTACGCAATTCTGGTCAAAGTGCGTTTTGCGCAGTTGATCAAGGAAGCGGCTTGTATTCGGCAAATGGGCGGGGATCTTACATAAGAGTTGACTAACGATTTTGCTAAGGAACCACGAAATTCTGTCAGTTGGCCCACCTACACAGCTGATTATTGGTCGAATTTTGCAAGACGCAGTGAAGCAGTGGTATCAACGCAGAGTACTAGTTTGTGTGTCCTTACGAGTCCATAAAAGACAGGACAAGCCGGATTTTCAATTTTTAAGCCTACTGAGAAACTTTTCGTCTAGTCCCGCTTGCTTTCCGATCATCATCCAGATGTGATTAAGTCGCTTGCTTTGAGAAAGGAATTCTTTTTCGGTTGAGCGACGATAAACTGTAGCATCTGATAGATGAAGTTCAGTTATGTTGCGATCGAGCGTTTGCGGCATAATAACGAACTCGCCTCCCTTGTCACTAACAGTGAGACGAATAGTGCCGTTGGAAGTCAATTCACGCAGCTCCTTGAAACCCTGCCTTTGCGCATATGTTAAATTAGACTGTTTTATACCACGATGTTTGTTAAGAACATTCAAAATTCCTGCCGAGAGTATACGCAATTTAACATCCGCTTCATGACAAGGATCGGTCTCTTTGTAAAAGGATGATGGAAAAGGAATAGGAGGAAGTACCCTTTTACATTGGACAGAGGGAGATTGCAAATTGTTATCGTGCCTGGTTTTTGCGCGCAACTGATCTCTAAACCGCTGCAAGGATCCTAGAACTTTGCGATATACCATGGAGTTGACCGTTTGTGTAGGCGCGAAGGATGGTCCTAAGCTGAGAAGGTCTAATGCGTTGGCAGATACATGAACATTGCCTATGACAGTGACCCTGGCCGTTTCATTAGTCGTATGTGGAGCTAAATGAGTAAAAGACCGTTGATTCACTGGATGGTGTTCAACACTGAGTTGACTTAATTCATGTTCACTAAAGAGTACGTCAAATTTCTTACGGAGTTTGGATTTTGCGTCAGATCGTATAGACTCGCAGATCCGTCTTGACGAGCTCTTAATCCTCTTCCATGTGTGTTCATTCAATAATCTGCGACACGCTTCTTCTTTCGACTCGCACTTCAATCGGCTGGAGTACATAATGTGCTGCTTTTGGAGAATTGCGTAATGGAGTCATTTGATGTTACGTCATTATACACTAATGTGTCCAATAATGACGCCTTACAAGCGCTCTCTGAGCTGCTCGATTCACATATTACCAATATGGAAACATACGGGCTCAGTAAAGCGCGCATCATCTCCTTGGTCAAGGAATATGCCTGGCATGCAACGTCTTCAAATGGTCGGGACAATATTATGCACAACTAAGAGGACTAGCGATGGACAAAGACTAGCGCCCGCGCTCGCTATTTGCTTTATGAGCAAAATAGAGGAGCCGGTATTATTACGATGTCCCCTGATGTACTGCCGTTACATCGATGGTTGTTACATTGCTACTGCAACTCAGTCCGAAATGGATGAGTGCTTTAGAATTCTCAATGAACAATCACGGTACATCAGCTTGACAAGACAGAGACCTCACGATGGCTGGCTACCATATCTAAATACACAGGTGATGTTGGAAAACGGAGCAGCACACGTCAAATGGTATCGGAAGGAGAGTTCTAAGAATATAATTCTGCATGTCACATCTGCGCACCCATCTGCTGTAAAACGTGCGATTATTCGTAATATGTTTAAAACAGCGCGCGATGTTTGCAGCGGTGAAGTTGAAAGACTGGAATCTACGAAGCTGGCATACGAGATAGTTACTAAGAATGGTTACCAACTGCAGCCCAGATCTCGCAAGAGAACATGCGCGAACGCTAGCAGTCAGACTCGATCACGTATATCGCTATGCTTACCGTTCGTGTCCGATAGAGTAAGCAACGCTTTTAAGCAATGTCTAGTACAAGCGCAATTGGCGGATGATGTTGTTTTAGTGAGCATACCCCAAGACAACATCAAAAAGCAATTGGTCCGCAATAGATTGTATGACAGACAATGCGTAATGCAGAACTGCGTTGTTTGCACAAGTGAGAGGTTAGGAGACTATTCGAAATACGGAGTGATTTACCAGCTAGAATGTAAGATATGCCATGCCATTTACATAGGCGAAACTGGTCGACCACTTCATGTACGTGTCAGCGAACATTTGGCGAGTAAGAGAAGGCAAAGTCTTGTAAGTCCTCTTGGAAAGCACAGGAAAGAGGACCATGGAGGAGATGATTTTGAAATCCAGTGTTGCATTTTGGCTGTCGAAGAACATATTGCTGCTCGAAAAGCATTAGAGGCTTCATTCATTCTTGCTCGTAATCCTAAAATGAATAGCAAGAACGAACATTTGTCTATCACTAGTGATCTGAAGCCGTTTCTACCATTTTGCGAGCTATGAGTAGCCTACACTATTTAAGCGTGTCGTACTTATTCGGACCGCTCATTTTGTCATCATCTGCTGTGGGCGACCGTGAGAGAGAGCTAACACCCTTACGCTCCTCACCAGGAACACTTGGTGAGCTGTTCAACTTGAGAACTTATCTGCGTCACAATAGATGAGTCAAATGTACGATTTGGAGGAAGTGTCCGGTGGTCTAGATCGTTTGGTTGAAGAGTGATTGACTCGCTTTCAGGCCCCTGAAGACGGCATTCAGCCGAAACGTCGGGCAGTAAATAAAGTGTTCCTTAAAAACCTGTTACGGCTTAAAACAATTGAACAATATCTACAAAACATGCCAAGGTTTTACAAAAAGGAAACATACAATCTATTCGTCTTCGGTGTTTTTGTCATTCCCTGGGCTTCAGTGACCCGATTACAATTATGAAGTTCAGTGTTCCCCCCCCCCCCACCCAAAAAAGCAATTACTGGAAGCCTCATCCAAAGAATCAGACGGCTTTCACCACTTGGGCGAGAGGAGCTTGGTAGAATTTGGACCCTTGATAGCACTTTTACGGTTCCAAGTTATCTTCATTTAGAAAATATTGGAAAACCGAACAAGCGCAGATACGCCTCTCGTGGGGCCTGCATGAAGGTAGGTACCAATCAGAGGGAGCTGTTTGCCTGAACGCTGCCTTTAATGCAAATTATACTACTACTACCAAACATAACTGCTATACACTGGATGCTATACACTGCCCCGTTCTATGTTACAGTGGCGCATCTTTGTCAACTCACTTACGTCTAGAGTTTTTACCACATAGATTCGAGTCTCCAATGCGTAAAATAACTGCATGATTGATTGCTTTCGCTTTTTTAGCTCTCGAAATTTTGGCTCCTGCCAGAGTGCCAAAGCCGAGCCAGCGCTGCGCCAGCGAGCCAGAGCAGAACTGTCTCGGCGCCGTTTCGATCGATACACGTGCCTTTCGTTCGGGGAGGGGCTAGCTGACCTAATTCTCAACCAGGTAGATGCGCCGACTATTGATCGAAATCTCTGTCGGCTACGGTAGCGCTTTGCCGGTACAGGGTCAGCTAGCCCCGCCCCGAACGAAATGCATGTGTATCGATCGAAACAGCGCCGGGACAGCTCGGCGCTGGCTCGGCGAAAGCCTTTCCTTCAAGTCTCCGATTTAGTCAAAACTGAACTGCGCAAATCGCAGTCGCAAATCGCAATCGAGCTTTCGACGTTTAACATCTTCTCACTCAATCGTACTCGCTTTGCCCAGGAGGGACATACTCAGTCTCTTCAGGAAAGTTTTGTTACATCATCTTACAGTCAAGATTTGTAAAATCACGAAGTTAGTCCCACTGTCAGGTCGTCATCATTGTCGAGATGGAATGTGCACAGAAGTTGATAAGAACACATTTAAAATTTTCAAACTTTTTTATCATGTCTTTATTCCTTGCAGAATTCATGGCATCATTCAAACGGCTTATGATTACTAATAATTGATTTTTCTTCATCCAAATCATCAATGATGTCCCCCTGGCCCTTTATTGAATGACCCACTTGATTCTGGACCACCATGTCCACCTTTTCCGCCTGGTCCACTGGGACTTAAACCTCCAGGTCCTCCTTTCCCGCCTGGTCCTGACTTTCGAGTGTCCGTGCATGTCACCTAAACACCACACCCGCATTATTTGGGAAAATTTCATGCAAAAATATATTTTTTATTTGGTGCGATGGTACTCTAGTAAATGTTTTTATGCTCATTTTGTACATACGTACCTCCCATTCATTTCGTTTCTTTTCCTTCTCACATTTATCCCATCCCTCTTTCTTGCTACAGATTTTGTCGCATACGTCTCCGTGGAACGACAGAGGAACTGAAAAGCAATAAATTTTTGGCACAGATCTCTTTTTAGGTATGCCATGTTGTTTGTTTTTTGTGTGTTCTTCTCCCAAAAGCGTGCTTAAAGTATTTCTTGACAAAAAAATCAACGTTATTCGTTTAATCGATTTGATTCTGTAAATAATTTGGGGACCTCACAACGCTTAACACGAAGAGATCTCGCAAACACTGAGAAATAACAACGGTTTTATCTGCACGAATTTGAAGAAGAAAGAATTATAAACAAAGAATTTTCTGGAAAGGGTGGAGAGAAAGAGTAACGAGGAGGCAGATGCTTTGGTTGTGTCTTCCATTTGCGAACAAAATTGATTGTTCTCGGAATTTTTAGTAAGCATTAACAAGTATCCGCGAAATGGAAGAATGCTAGTGTTGTTGCTCTTGTGCAGTATGCGAAACATTCTATATAAGTCAAATAATGACCCATGTAATCTCTTTAAATATCTGAAGGCAGAGATAGGTTGCCAATAGGCTTCACCCGCGCGGACAACTTACACGAGCTGTGATGAAAGTGCGCAACTGTTGCAGTTGTCGGCGCAGTACCTCCCCTTCGGGCGAATCAATAATCTGTGTGCTCCTACCACATGAGCGGTCAAAAGTCAAAGCAATCATCCACTGCCACCTCGGTTTTTTGGCAATTTTTGAGCATGTAGAAAATTATATCTGGAGGAAGTAGACTCCACCTCATCTAGTTCGCTATTAACAGCTATCCAAACGAAGGCGGTGCTCATGTACGCGAGGCTTGCGCCGAAGTACGAGCTTTAACGGCCAAAGATACCCAAACACGCCGATCGCAGCCACTTGGCACTTTAAGCTAACCGCCTTCGTCATGAAGGAGCTTTCACAAAGAAGTTCTAGGGATTCAGTGCGACATCATAAAGGCTAAAGAAACTCTGGCTATGTGTCTATTTGCACATTCGAATGTATTAGAATAACCTCTCTCAACTTTCTGCTTTTGTGCTTCGACGTATAGTATGACTGCCAGCAAGAGGACCTAGAACAAAGTTTGTTACTCACAAAAAACGCGTTCGAAGAAACATTACTGACCACGAAACCTAATAACCTGTTCATGCTGTTTTGTAGTGAAAAATGACGTTAAGTCCCTTCAAGTTCAACTACCTTATATAGAGACTGAAGAGTGGTCCCGTTACGCATCTCTATCGCGCTCTCAGTTTTTTCTTAGAAAGCCAAACTTTTTAAGACTGTAAAATACGAGCGTGAAGGCCGTTTTCACACGCAGAATAGACATTTTCAGTTAATGCTTAATTGTCCTTTTCTTCCATCGCGAAGTTTAAGGACAGGAAAACAAGAATGTTTGACAAATCAAGGAGACAAAAAGCAAAAAGTAGAATAGTCTTGTTGTTCAGTGTCAGATCAAATGCGTCCTGCTAGATGGCTTGCGTTCAAAAAATCAAACAGCGAAACAGGGGCAAGAAAGGTCATTTTACTAAACGAAAAAATCTGATGTGTGATGCCATTGCATTCGTTTACATGTCGAATGATGCTTGTCAAAAACAAATCAACCAAACAATCAGCTTGTTGCTTTATAATGTATTCTTGTCACATTCTCAACACTGGGAGTTCGCAGTTTCTCCAATCTGCAGCAAGAAAATGTTTTGAGTAATAAGTCGTGGAGGATAGTTAGTATTAGCGAGAATTTCATATGCTTGAAGAGTAATTAAGCGTATTAGCGCCTTACTAAAGGAAGACACTATTGCAAAACACTACATTCTTACTTAAGTCAACAGAACCCAATTATGTTTACGTTTGGTTTCTTTGAATAGTCATACAGAGAAAATCTCCAGAAATCCCAACGTAACATAACGTAACCTCTTTGCATTTTTCAACGAACATTTTTCGTGCTTCGATCATTCGCACTGAGAAGCTTAGGTTATCGACTCGCCATGAGTACTATTATCTTAGGATACCGCACATACCTTGCGGGACATGTGCTTCTCATATCCGCCTGCACTCACACCCACCGCTCCGACGGGTCCGGCATTCGTCGGTATATGTACCCGTCTGAGCAAACAACTCAATTGGAGCTACCGATCGAATTTTTGTCTGAGCAGGGCAAGTCCGGAGGGGTAAAGGAACGAACTCCATCAGTTCATGCCACCTTGGCGGACTACTGGTGAAGCGACATGCAACAGCCTTGCAAGAGGATCATTTGTCCGCCGAGGGGCCCAAAAGTGACGGAGTTTGTTTCCCTACTGAATAGGGCGACCGCGGTTACCTGAAAAGCTGTAGCTTGGAAGTGTCAGTGAAACCAGTTGCCAGTTTGATCCGTGTGCCCGCCACTGCGGTCGTATCAAAACCGCTCCTCTGATATCGACCACTCGACACCTTACCCCCATCGTCCTGACACTCGGTAGCCGTGTGCTACTCATCGTCTTTGCGTCCTCCGTTCCCCCCCCCCCCCTCCCACTTCTAAACCCAAATTACTCCAAACAATGGTTCGACAAGCTGCATGTAGGAATGGAGCTGAGGAGGGCGACATGCCGCTTTGGGCAACCAAGTGGATCGAGCGATTTGACGCAGTCTCCAGAACATTCGAGAGGACCGCAAGTGAGTTACTTACTCAGCTTTCGGGTGAAATTGAAGAAATCAAAATTTCACAAAGAGCAGTTTTGGCTCGTTTAGAGAGCCTAGAAAACAGACTTTCGGAACTGCACTCTCGCAAGCTCAACGAGCAGAGTCTGCTCTACTCTACCCTTGTCAAAGTCCGTGCGGACGATGGCAAGTTAGAGGAGAAATCCAAAAGGAGTGCTCTTGTAGGGATCGATGAGCAGGGCGACAAGTCGGCCACTCGTCGTTTTGATCAGGAGATCGTAAGGGAGCACGTGTATACATCGGGCGAAAGGGTGATTGAGGAGTTTGACAAGGGCAATGTATCTGTCCATCGTCATCCTCCTGGGCAGCCGAGAGGCTCTCAAGCCCGTGGTCGTGTTCTAAATGTAGGCTTCCGCTCGAAAGAGTTGAGGGATAAGCTTTTAGAACACATGAAAACTGGGCGGCAGAGTCTCACGCAAAGGTTCGTGCACTCATATGCCAGGCGCGACTACACGAATGAGGAATTGCAGTTGGATCGTGAGCTGCGCAAGCGTGCGCGGGATCTCAATGCTATGTAGGAGGGCAAGTTGGTTTATGTTGTCCGAGATTTTGATATCATCAAACTCCGGACACCACGCGACTTGCCTAGGCGCTCTTTGGCGCCCTCCGCCACTCGTCGCAACGGGTTTAATGGCGGAAGTTCTGCGGTAGGGCTGGAGCAACGCTGTAGTGCCTCTCCCCCACTTGCCATGTCCCGGTAATTTCCTCTCAGTATACCCCGGGTGTGCTCAGCGCACACTAGGGCAGAATTCAACAAACAGAAACTACCCCTCGGTATGAGTGTCTGATCGAAATGATATAATTCATGCTCAATATCCAAATTTTGCTAGTTGCATGATTTTATTCAACGCACGCTCAATCTGCAATAAACTGCCTGAATTACATAGAACACTTTCTTTTGGCCCATCTATCCTCTTCATAACGGAATCATGGTACAAACCAGATTCTATACATGATGCTAACATATGCCGAGGTTTTGATTATGATATATGCAAATGTGACAGAGAGGGCAGTAGTATAGGAAGCGGTGTTCTTACCCTCACACACAGAAGGCTAGAGCATCACTTGATCTCCAGTCAGAACTTCTCCCCATATTGCCAAGTTCTATGTTTTTGTGTTAGTGATGCAACCAGCTGCACTTATTTTGTATTAGTTTATCGAAGTCCCTCTTGTGACAGTACTTCCTTTGCAAACGCAGAATCTTATTTCGCCGAAATTTTTGACAGAAATCAAAACTGCATCATTCTGGGAGATTTTAATTTGCCGGTTGGCTCATGGCAGGAGGATGGCAGAATGGCGCATCACTGGGTTCCCTCCACTTCCACAAAGCTACTTCGAGTTGTGAAAGTATACGGTCTACATCAACTAGTAAAGGTTCCCACTAGAGGCTCTCAACTGCTTGATCTTGTGTTTTCCAATAATAGTAACTTGATCAAATATCTTACTGTATGCGAACCCTTCTCTACATCGGACCACTGCTCTATTACATTTAAGCTGCGCAAGCATCGTAGAATAGTATCGCCTGAGAAATATCAGCCTGATTTCATGCATGCTGATTATGACGCTATAAACATGAGCTTATTAGAAGTGGATTGGCGAAGTATCGTATTTAGGGCATTGTCGGCAGATAGTTGTTATGAATACTTTCTTGAAGTGTGCCGTAATGCTAATAACAATTTTGTCCCTCTGCGTAAAATCTGCCGTGGCCGCATGCTTTTCTATCCCAAAAGGATGCACAAGCTTGAGGCCAAGGTCTCCAGGCTTTACCGTGCAAGAAGCAGAATCGGTATCCAAAAATATCAAAGGTTCTCAAAAAAACTCAAACGTGATTTATACCGCTGCAGACTCATAGAAGAAGGCAAAATTGCCGACAGCCGAAATGTACGAGCGTTCTTTCGCTTCTGCAATCATTGAGGGTGTCAAATAGCGTTGGCACTATATACGACTCAACCGAGCAGCTCTGCGCATCCGATATAGAGAAAGTTGAGAAATTTGCCGAATTTTGCAAATCCATCTATAAGGACCCGACAGCCTCGAATGCTGATTGTCCACGTTTTACAAATGCGAAGATTGATTATTTGGATATCACCGCTGATACAGTATATCAAGTTTTGAGGCGACTCCCCCTTAGAAGGTCCACATCCCCTGATAAACTCCCACATTTTTTTCTTAGGAAAGTATCGTTAGGTATAGCTCCAGTATTAGCTTTGCTGTTTCAAAGATTTCTCCTTCGTGAGGAAGCCCCTGCCTTATGGCGCACTTCAATCGTTAGGCCAATTTTCAAAAAGGGCTGCAAGGCTGAGGCCGGAAATTACCGATCTGTTTAACATCATCAGTAAGCAAAGTCTTTGAAAGAATTATTTGCAAACAGATTTGCGCATTTCTTACTTGCAACCATCTTGTGCACAAAGCACAACATGGATTTCTACCCAAAAGATCTACAATCAGCTTTAATGTCCACGGTACCCTTGTGGCAGAGAGCAGTTAATGAAAAAAGAGTTGTGACAGTCTGCTATATAGATTATAAGAAAGCCTTTGACTCCGTGCCCTTAACTCTTCTCTTTATAAAATTAGAGGCTTACGGCATTAAAGGCTGTTTATTGCGGTTCCTTAAAGCATTCCTGCTTGCGCGCACGAAAAGAGTGCGGGTCAATGAATCGTTTTCTTCAATCTATCTAACAGCAAGTGGTGTGCCGCAGGGTACTTGCTTGGGGCCTTTGATGTTTTTGCTTTACATCAACGATCTGCCGTCATGCATTCCCCATCATGTACATTGCTCTATATATGCTGATGACACAAAACTCTACTGCTACGACAACCCTAATCTGATGCAGCGCGCCTTGGATGCGGTAGAGAAATGGTCCGACAAATGGGAGCTTGACATTTCCGCGGAAAAAACCTTTATCATGGCCATTGGGCGTGCACATCCTCAGTGTTCCTTTCGTATTGGGACACATGAGCTTCAAACAGTTAGCAGCGCCAGAAACCTTGGTGTGACCTACTCTGACAAACTAAAGTTTGAGAAATACATACGAGATATTGCCGTTGCCGCTCACGCCAGGTGCAATTACATCGTTCGTGGGTTCAAAACTACTAATGTAAAAATTCTCTTTCGCCTTTTCGTCATCTATGTTCGTCCTCTTTTGGAATATTGCACTCCACTATGGTCTCCCTTTGAGAAAACCCTTACGGAAATTATTGAAAGAGTCCAGAGATCGTTCACTGCCAGAATTTTTGCCCGAGCTGGAATATTCCGATTGTCATACAAATCTAGGCTCTATTCTAGCCACCACTACTCTTGCGTTTAGAAGAACCCTTTATGACCAAAACCTTGTCTTCAAAATAATGACCAACAGGATTGAATTGGAAACGCAAGATTTTTTCAGTCTATCGAATTTCAACAATTACACTAGAGGACACATGTTCAGGCTTGTAGTAGGGAAAGTGAGGAACCAGCA